TCGTATCTTTTCCTTCTGAACTGCTTCCTGTTCGATTTTATCAGCATATCAGTAAATGTTGTGAATACCTGCCGTGAGTGCATCTTCGTCTGCGCAGTCGTCAAGGTTTACATGTCAACGGGCTTACCTCCACTTGGGAGGAAGATCATTCCTGATGTGATAAAATCAAGGCTCTATCAAACTTCACACAAACCAGGAGCAAGTAAACGAACCCGTCTTCAGGCCTGTCATTACTTTCGTAATTTCTCTTGCAGGTGCTAACGCCGGAAGAGCTGGAACAGGTGAAGAACCATACCTATAACTTCGATCACCCCAACGCTATCGACCACGAACTCCTCATTAATCACCTCTCACGTCTGCGAGAGGGAAAGAGCATTCAAGTGCCTGAGTACGATTTCAAGACGCATAGTCGAACATCTAAGACGGTATGTGCCAATCATATAATTTACTCTTTACTGTGCTCAGAATTGCTCATTGCTGGTAGTTTTTATAATCTTTAAGTAGCGTTCTTTTGAGGTCACTGCAATAGGCATCCGGCCACTCCGAACAGGCCTGGTCTTTGAAGCCTCAGACAGTTAATCCAATCGTGTTTGTGATCGGTGTTGATAGTGTTGATGTCTACTGGACAAGATAAACAAATTCCCAAACCTTAATCGTGAAAGCATACCTTATACTATTTGCGCTTCCATCAGTAATAATGCCGGGGTTAAAAGATGCACCATATTGGCAGCACAGGTACTAGCCAAAAGCCCAGACAAATATTTTTCTGATTTTATGCTGCTGCGGGACATAGCTGTGAGGAGTTCGGCTCATCAGTGAGCCCCCTAGCATTTCCGTGTGCTCTCTTGTAGGTACTCCAGTTTCGAAAGTATTATTTTTTTCTATTTTTTTATTAATGCTGTTGGCGTTAGGATGTGTCAGTGAAGAAAACGCCATGTCCTCGGAACGACCAAGATCTTCAACAATTACGAAATCTAAACTGAGAATTGTTTTGGAAAAATTGTTGGCGTTATCAATTTTATTATCTTCGTACTCCAGCCCTCAGATATATGAGCTGTCAGTTGTTGTCCTCAGTGTGCCAGTGACTGTGTTTGACAGATAGCATTCCATTTCATTCCCCGTGTGCTCACTATTTTATGTACATTGATTGCCACGTAGGCAGCACAAACTCCTTTTGGCATTCATCACTTTTACAACTATTACTCCTTAACGAACCCTCACCGGTCGATAACGGACCTCATTCGTCCCACTCTGTATTGGGGCTTTTTCTCGAGTCCCGCCCGCAGCCACACGGCGGCTATTAGTTTAGCCAGATAGCATTTCCGGCAAACACAAGGGAGTGTGGAGTTGCCACTCCTGGCTCATTAGCTGTCGTCAACCATTCATACCTAACCCCAAATGATGAACCACCCGAGGCTCGAACCCGCGATCTTCTGGTCAGAAGTCCAACGGTCTAACTCGCTGCGCCGCGTGCAAGTGCTGAGTTAAGCCTCTGGTTTTCTGTGTTGTCTGCGAGGCAGCACCCATTCAAAGCCCAGCCCCTAACGAAATGCTCGCCGCGAAGTATAGCTCGTCCAGTCTAGGACACAATTGGCTGTCTTTTTGGTTGTTTTTTTTT